TTAAGATATGTTGTTTACATGTTTAAAATTTCACGTGAATTGCTTTTGTTTTGAAAAAGTTATTTACATTTATGTCACGTAAATAAAATTCCAAAAAGTTTTGTTACACACTGTATATATAAGCTTTTATTAATAAACCTTAGAACCAATTTATTGTCAAACATTCAAAAAAAATTTTTTTGAACAATAAACTTTAATAAACCAAAAACAATAAACTTTTAAGAACAATTTATCAACTAGTTTTCAAAAAAACAAACTTTTAAGCAATGAGCTTTTTGATAAACTTTTAAGAACAATTATTGAAAATAAACTTTTAAATAACAAACTTTTATTGATAAACTTTTAAGAATAATTTACAACTAGTTTTCAAAATAAACTTTTAAATAGTAATTTTTTTTTTAATAAACTATTAGAACAATTATCAAAAATTTTTAATAATTAACTTGACATTAAACTTTCATAAACTTTTATTTAATATTAACAAATCCAATCAAAAAATAAAAAATTCCAAAGCCAATAAGTACAGCGATCTCATCACCTTCAGAACAAAATTGCTTTCAGGAGAGAAAACCTCCACAAACTATATCCAGAACAATACCCTGATCTATATTGTCCCTGGTGCAGTTTATGCACTGAGGATATCAAACATGTTTTCAAATACTTATCAGCTTCAGGAGATATTAGCCAACTCATCAATATCATCAACAACATTTTCCATACCAATGGTGACCACAAGCCAATCTCACATGCCTGGCAGTTAGCAGAACTGGCATGCGGCATTACTGACAATATCTTCTTCACTATCAACTTCTCTAACTAGGTTGAAGCCTCAACCGAGACCTTAACTTATTTATATAAATCAATTTGAATACCCTGCTGTGCCATAGCAAACACTTCTTTCCTTACTGGTATCAAATAGAACAATAACTCCCACAGCAACACATCAAAACAAATGATCAAAAACCTAGCTAAATTCAAATTTCTTAACAACTCCTTCACTTCAACATTAACCACTATAGATTTATCTATATTAATAACTGATTCTTATATCCAAAGTGGATTTAATTTTACTAAGTGTATTTTCAAATTAATTTCAGATTATCTTAATTTTCTTCTATCTAATGCTAAATAGGTAATCATAGCTACTCAAAACCTTTCGACAAGATATATTATTTTAAAATTTCTTTTCAATATTAGTCTAGTGGTTATTGTAGGCAAGCTAGCATTTAACTCATTGTACTATTACACATGAGAAATGTTGTTTCTTTTACAATATATATCTATTACTATACAAATTAAATAAAGAAATGAAGTTTACCTACAAAAAAAATAAAAAATCAAAAATAAACTTTTGTTTAATTAATTATAAAGAACAATTTAATTAATAATAATTGTATAATAAAAAGTTTAAAAAATAAGTTTCAGTGAAGTTTTTCAATAATAATTTAACTTTTATTAAAGTACACAATAGATTTTGAATATATAAACCATCAAAAATTCCAAATTTTAAAATAGAAAAAAAGCAACAAATCAATCAAGTCCCAAGAATTTCAAAACAAAGTAAAGTTAATTATTAAAAAAAATTATGCTTTAATTATTTTTAAATAACTTTAAAATAAATTTTGACTTGCTTTTTTACAAACAAAGATGACAATACTGAAATGTCTATTGTTATTTGTTTCTTTGAATAATTATATAAAGTATAAATTTTATAAAGCTTGTTTTTTATTTTTTGAAATTTTTTAAAAAAAAATTAAATAGAAAATGAGAAAGAGTTTATATATATATATACTTTTTAAATATCAAATTGTTATTATATTTGTATACTATAAATCTATATAAAAATGATAAATTTTTTTATTTAATTTTTCAAAATTTATATTAATTAAATTTTTTAAAAAATATTATGTTATTTAATTCAATAATATTTAAAAAATAATCTACAATTTTTTTTTTTTATATATTATATATAAAATCCACTATTAAATGATAGTTTCTTCAATTAGTATTATATAAAAATATAACAAAAATATTTAAATAAATAACCTATATATCAATAGCAAAATAGTTAGTATTTTTTTATTAAAGATTTTTATATTGTTAAAAGAAAATAAATACAATAGTAAAATAAACTTTACCACACTATAAAATAAGCTATTTAAAATTCTATAACTATATTTTACTTTTTATTGCTAATATATTTTATAAGTTTAAAGTTTTCTACGTGACTTTTTCTAAATCAATAATAATAATTATTTTTTCGTTCTTCTAATAATTTTTTTTAAATATTTATATATTATGCAACAAAGTTGACAAATTTATTAATACAATTTTTTTTGTTTTTCTAACACGTCATTATAATAATAATTTATATTTATAGATTTTATTATTATTTTTTTATATAAAATCTCTATTTGAACAAAAATAAATTGATCTTATTTCTTTAATTCGTAATGGTTTGTTTATAAGAGTAATTGATGTTAAACTCAAGGTTAAATATAGTATTATATCAAAAATTTGATAAAGTAGTTATTCTAATATTCAAAATCGAATAACTAATGACTAAGGCATGTTAGTTTCTTTAATAATTCAAAATCAATTGATTTAGATCTGATGGACATAAATAGTGTTGGAAAAGGTCAAATTCCTTACTTCAATTATATTGTTTCTGCAATAAAATATTATATAGGATTGATAATAATTTGAAAATTCGCATTATTTATTATTCTATAATCTGTATTAATAATGTTTTATCTATATTTTTTTCTGTTAATAATTGATTCTTTATTATACAGTATTTTATAATTAAAGTAATATACTGTAATTAGATTAAAACAAAGATTTCAACCTATTCTGACACTTTTCATACATTGTTTTGCAAACTTTTATCGTTGATTTATAGCTTTAAAGTAAGAAATAATTTTTTTTCTTAACAAAAGATATTGTAAATCATTTATTTTACTTGATGTACGCATTTGTATTTGAGGTTTGTCCTGCCATGCTATAGTTATTAGATATGATCAACTTTGTTTTAATTTTTATACTATCTTACTATATTTTTATATTACGATATTATTGCCTTATGCTTTAAAAAGTATTCTACTGTATTAATCGGTTTGCACTACTTGTTTTCTCCTCAGTCATTTGATTTCTTATTCGTGTTATATTAAATTTGTTTTATTACAATGGATGGATAATGTGTCAATTATAAGACATAAAAAAATGAAACCCAACTCGCTCCGCTCCGATACAGAGTATCAATATAGTACGGGCATCTTATATACAATCTTTCTTTCGCAAAATAAAGTAAAATAAAAATATAATTTTTTTCAAGTAGAAATAGCCAAATACTGTAAACTATTTTTTCCCTCTTTTTGACGAACTAGCTTCTAATGAACTACCCCTTCTTTTTTGTGAACTCCCACTTGAACTTTCAGAGCTCAAATCAATTTTCAGAGCGTGTTGCTTAACATGATTTTTAATCCAACTTGGCATTTTCCGAACATTAGCATTATCCGTGGTAATAAATTTCTGCTTTTGAAATTGATCGTATAACTCTGCCGGTGCAACAAAATAAAATGAGATTTCACCCGTAGTTATCAATTTACTATAAAGCTTCTTCAAACCGATAATCTTAATAGGATGATTTCTGGCGGTAGTCATCTGGAAAAGTATATTGGGAGCAATAATTGCATCAATCGACGGAAAATTTTTATTAGCTGGTCGATAGTACTTTCCATCCTCGATCGTCTGAATTTTAGAAAACGTAAGTATCTCATTCTGATTTTTCACATTTTGAGTTGATCTTTTATTTCTAGTGGACTCTAGAGAACGAACTTTGAAAGTTCCGCCATTTCGCAGTATCCGGTGAGCCATCTGCTCGAAACAGCTACCTAAATATGGAGTAAGGCTTAGTTCAAAATTTGTGCGTAATTTGTCTAATATTAATGATTTAAGTTTCTTGGTGATTTCCTCATCCACGTAATCAGACGCAAATGCTATAATTTGTAGTGTACAGGGTTCCTCATTAACGTATTCAACCTCTTCATCACCCTCGACCTCTATATCGCTCCCATAATCATCGCTTTTATCAATCGGAGAGTTCGTGCAGATATGGATAAGCTTGTGACTGACATCATCTCTGCTATCGCTTTCACCAATATAATTAAATATCTTTTCGTCACACACAGAAATTGACTTTTCGAGCATGCGTTGCTGAGTTGGATTGCGAGCCTTTTCCAGGACGAATCGAGGGATCCCTCCCCATCTCAGAA